AAATAAAAGGACTTTTCCTACAAAATTGGCTATGAAAGACTCCTTCGGTCATATGGAGCTGAATATATATGATTCTCCCAGACTATCTCAATTATAATACTTATCATAGTAGCAGTCAGACTGCCTATCATCAAAAAAAAGTGTCTGCAACATCTGGCACATCCCAGCATGCATGCATTACAGAAAAAAACAGATCTACATTGGTTTTTGCACACATTTTAATTCTCAGCATGTACCATTAAACTTTATGTCATTTGTCAAGCTGCCTTCTGCAGTTCCAGGAACAGTTAAATAGCATTTACATCATTCTGTGCTAAAAGGCATGCATTAGCAACTTCCTGTGATGAGCAGGAAGAAAATAAAAAGCAAGTTAAGCAAGTTCTGTGAAACAATGACTAACCCTAAACAACTATAATTGTCTCTAAAATAAAAATGACTACTGCCATAACATTCTCAATGATTGCCCTAAAGCAGCCATTATTTCTGCTTTACTATGTAGGGAATATTGAAATGAAAGCATCTATCTTAGAATTCATTAAAAAATTAGTCTCTCCTACATACTGAATTCTAATTCACAAAAAAATTAGAATATTCAATAGTTCATCATCCAATTTCTTAGTATATGATACTACAAAACAAAATAGCCAACTACTGTGTAGATAATAGGCCCAGAACATTTATCACCAAATTAAACCAGATAAGAAATCATGATCTTACTTCAGAATTTAATGTAGTAAGCAGCAAATTAAATTTCAGAGCTTCAGAAACTAGTGCAAATCTGAGGCAGTAAAACCACAAAGTTGAATGCCATGTGGATCCGGAATAAGAACTCCAACATTCCTTTTAGGCAGAAGTTTGTTTCCATAGTGCAAAATGTAACTTAGCAGCAGAAACTACACAGTTCACGAGAGTTTTTTTAAAAATCTGAACATCAGTTTAAAGATGGAGAGTGTTTTCCAGTCAAGAATTTTTGTGTTTTGTTTTATGGGGAAAAATTCAAAATGCAAAATTTCTCTTGCACATCTGGTCTACTGTGCAGGAATTCTGCTTGCTAAGTTAATTTTTTTCAGAATGAGCTCTGATAATGAAAAATAAAAGCATATTCAGGTTTTAACTCTATTACAAGTTCAGAGTCTATTCCAGTAGTGTATTTCAGCAGTGCTATAATGGATACACTTTTGTCATATTTACGTATGCCTCACCATTCAGGCTTAATCTGGTAAACAATGTCACTTTAGAAGTGAAGCATTAGTAAACATCAGAAGTCACGTTCTAAGAAATACTCTATTGCTTAATATTAATTATTAGAGCCTTGTTAATTGTAATTGACTCTTCCTCAGATTCTGTGATACACACCACAGAATAGAATGTCAATTAAATTAGAATTATAAATATATCCTGAAAGAGGCAGTGTTTCTTGACAGTAATATTTTACTGCAACATAGATTTATGCATCCTTTTATATCCTGGGCATACTGCCAATATTACATTACCTAAATATCCATTTTATATAGTAATTCTGCATCCTCACAGCAACTTATGAAATCAGTCTAATTGTTTAATTTTAGGTTCCAAATCAACATTCCTTCCAAAGCATTAATATAGTGGTGAATCTATGCAATTACCAATTTTGTAAAACTTCTTCCGTCTGTCTGCTAATTTAAACTACTGTTAAGTAAGTGCCCTTTTTTGGTATGTATTTATGTATGTATGCTTAAAAAATAAAGCAATGGGTAAGTGACACTATGTATCTCAATTTCACCTTCCATCATGCCATACTTGCTTGCAACACATTTCCCTTTACTAAAGACGATTAAGATCCCGCATCTCCATTTTCCAAAGCGTTTATCTGGGTTGAAATCTTGACCTTTTTCCAAAATTTGTTCTGGGCAGGTGTTAAGTGTAGAGTAATTCAACTGAAATTTGATTACAACGGTTCTGCAATTTTGACTTCCAAAAAAACCTGACCAAACAAAAAGCCCCCTCCCCCAACCAAACCAGTTCTGACAGCTGCCTTCAGACAGCTGAGGAAAAATACCACCACAGACTAGAGGAGCAAGGAAAAGGCTGACCTCAGATATTATTCTTTTTAATACAAAAGTAGCAAAAGTTGTTTTATGGTAATTTGGTTAGGTAAACTTTTTGAAGTATCTTCTTTGAATTAACTTTAATCTTGTTGTAGAATGAATTCTCTGCAGAATAAAATCTCATTATCCAAATAAGTAAATATATTGAAATGCTTATGAAAGTCCTGATAACACCTTTAGATACTAAGGAAATGAGATGATCTACTTAAAACTTAAATTTCTATCCAGGAACACAATTATCTGTTATTTTTCTCTTCCTTTTTGATATCAAAATGCCATTAAATATTTTTTGATATTTAAAATTTTCATTCTGGATAGCTAACTTTCAGGATAAATATGCCAAACTGTTTTTTGTTTCACTTTTCATAATTCTTTCAGTATTCAAAGTGGAAAGAGGTTGTTAATATGAATGATTATGTACTGGCAAGAACCTACAAAACCTGTGTCAGCAACTCTTGTATATTTGTTGACTCAGTTCCTCTTGTATACTTAAAAGGCGGTTGACGAAGTGCCTGAGATATTCCGATTGCTATGACCATCTCCTGAAGGACAACAAAGGTCTGTCTCTAATGTTATTCAGAAAATTTATGGTGATAAAAGAATTTATACCACTCTGTCAGTCCATGAAAAATCATTTTACGTGTCCTCCTCTGTAATTACTGAACATTATAATAGAGCTTATGAAACAGGTGCTGCACTGACTTTTTGGGTAGACTAACTTGTAATGTTATCTCCTCCCATGATACTGCCTTTTTTCCAGTTTCCTGCATTTACCCTTTACAGTTGACATATGTCACTAGTTTTTTTCATATTTATTATGTTATCATACAATATTATATTACTAATTTATCATGTTTGTTTCAAATAGTTGCATCTCTTTTAATACACAATGAAAGCCACAGAGTGAACTGCTCTCAGTCGGTGACCTACAAACAGAAAACAGTTGACAAAAATAACTTAAAGCTGCGTATTAAAGAGAAAATAATATTTCTATGATGTGCAACTGTTGTTTTTCTGTATAGAGTGATTTACAAACTGCTATACAGAACACAAAGCTCATATGACGGTATAGAAATCATGCAAGATAATGTATCTTCAGTTCTGAAGTTCTGAAGTCATAGTGAGTATGTGACACATTAATCTTCAAGAAAAATGCCATTTTTATTTTTGAAAGAGTATCCACTTCAGGACTATTGACTTCTGACTACTTTGGTGAGATTCATATGTTGCCCAACATCTGCCTCCTGATACTTTTCCCTGAAGGTATGACCTTTGTCATTGATAGGCTAGAAGGGCAATAGATCTGATTCAATTTGGTGATTTCTTAACAAACTCCAAGTGTTAAATTCTGGTTTAATTGAATTAAACAGCAACTTTTACCTCAACTTTGCCACAAAATTTATTTTACCTTAGCAAACTTTAAACAGAGGTTGCATTGATGATGAAAAATAAATCATGTGACAACAGGCTTGACTCTGGGAACTTAACCAACAAGTACCATTATTTAAAGGGTGCAACTAGCATCTTACTCCATATGACCCATTTCCATTTCTTCAGAAGCCACATGAGTCAACAGACAATTATCACTCTTCTCAAAATTAACCGAAACCAGCTGATTCATCTACCAAGTTATGAAATATCGTTTGTTTTTTTTCAGACTTGCAAAATAATGTTCTCATTCATCCTAGTAAACTAGATACTGCTTTTCTCTCTGGATTTTAAATCCTTTTCTTTGACTTTGTGATCCTGATAATCTACCTAAGAGCTTATGAACATAATAAACATCTCCTGCTAAACAATCACATGACTTGATTTACAAACTAGTTGACTTCCTCTGAAGTTGAGGAAAAAGACCTTCCACCTTTTCCAAAAATACTAACTTCACAAGTGGCATAGGAAAGGGAAATGTAAATTTCCTGAAGATAGAAGAAAATGATTAGAACTTCCAGCTATCAAATGCTCACAGCTTGCGGCAATAGAGATGAATCACCAGCTATATTTCAAATATATCCCCTTAGGTGAACCTTACTCAGCTTTCAGACTTGATGCAAATACAGGCATCTCCCAAGATTTTGCACAGAGAGAAACACCAAGAAGCAGCTCCAAATGCATAAAAGTCTAAAGAAAGTTGCTACAAGTCCTGCTTTTTCACTTATGTCTTTCTAGGAGGAAATTCACCATGATTAGAAAGTAAATACCCTTTGAAATCTTGCAAACCAAATGGGGGCAGGTTAGTAAAAAACTGCCCTGAAGATATTAAGGATTGACCACAAAATACTTTGAAGCTACCACTTTGTGTCATGAGAATGGAGCAGTCCACTCCCAAACAACATGTGTCATGAGAATGGAGCAGTCCACTCCCAGTCATTCGTGCAATGAATATTATATATATAATGAATATTATAGTCTACATGGTTTTTAGTCCAAAATATTTCCTCTATTATCACTATGAACAAATTCATATTACTAGACTGTGGCCATGGTAGTGAAATTTAAATAAACAGTAACTCCATTAAGATGGTCACAAGACATAGCAATTGAAGTGGAAATATAAAAGGATATAAACTAATCTATAATTAATTATTATCAGAGGCTGAGTATGGGAACTTTATGAATCTTCGCAAAAGGTCAAATTAAACTATTACTCAGTGAGACTGAGTAATTAAGAGCACTATCTTACTTAAAGCATCTGATATCAAGTGGTCCTTTCCTTGCATTTTTCCATTCTGTCTAGACTGTTCCTAAATGAAAACTATCATGATACTGACATTAAGCAACTTTCTTGGACTATAAAATACAGTATTAAAACATAAAGTAGAAAGAATATGCCTCTAAACCTGTATTAATCCTAAAAGGAAAACATTTTTTTTTCCATGCACTTTATGTAATAAGGTTGGTTTGTTATGTACTTACGTGATAAAGTGGAACTGTATTGTTTTCTGCTAGTGAGAAATTCAAGACATCTTGCTGGCCAGGCTCAAGCCTAGCATTAATGGTAGATGTCAACACAGGTGGGCTAATGGGGTAGTTTGGACTGCTTGTGTTTTTTCCCTTTTTTCTTGACCTACGACCTGTGTCCCTTTTGTTGTCTTTTTGTGTCAAAGGCTCTTCTTGGATAACCAGTATCTTGTCATCACTCAGATACCGCAGGAGTGAATTCTCAGAGTCAGTTGTTGGAGGGGAAAAAAGAAAAAAGAAACATTAGTAAGAGGAAACAAGCAGAGAATCATCTTAACTGCTTCTGCATTGTCAGCTTGGTTCATTCCTCACTTCACCTGAGGCTCTTTCCTCTGCAAACTTATTTATACCAAGGTTCCAATCAAGAGCAAACTAAGTAGTTGGCACAAAACCTGGGCACAGAAAATATGGTGGTGCATACCCAGGACCTAGCATGACAGATAGTATGAAGCTAGTCCACATCATACAGCTTGTGTAACAAAGAAAATATAAATACAGCCAAAGGGCTGTATTTAATTTCAGTGAAATGTCAGTGAAATGTCAGTGAAACATCAGAGATCACCACTTGGTACTATTAAACTGGAAAGAGTCATGTGAATGTAAAATGAATTGTGAGGGCTTGCACTGGACTTAGTACCACATTTACTGACACCCCCTGTGATTTGAGGTGCTAGTGAGCATACACACAAAATATTTGTAAATTGTATCAATAAGGGAGCATCTCTGGGACTATTCCAGAGACAAGGACTGTAATTTCAAGGAACCTGACAAACTGGAATAATGATCTTAAAGATGTGCAGTATTCTTTGGCACACTTTCAAATCGGGAACAGGCAGGGCAACAAGTCTGAGGAAAGGAACATGTTTGTAACAGTGAAATGCAAACTACACATGAATCAACAAATTTGGAATAAATCAGAAAAGTCTTGTGCCTTAAGTGAAAGGTATTTTCTCTTGGAATGGAAGATCAATGAAAAAGGCAGTTTGAAATCCAGTATTAATTTTCAAGAGTATCGTTCAATTTTGTCACATTATAAGTAGTCAAGTTGAACTTCTCCCAGCTACCCCAATTGGGCCTAGAAGATTCTGAAAGAATGGTATTTAAGAATTTTTAACAGTCAGCATAACAACAAGCGTATTTGCATATTCGAAGAATATTCTTTTGAATTACATAATTGCTTTTTAGCAGAGGAAAAAAAGGAAAAAAATAACTTTGCTATCAGCATGCTTCTTCCAAAGTTCATAATTCCTACTGGAATCAATAGAAATTTATGATTAGGATTGCTGATCTGAACACTGACAGTGCAAATGCTGATTCTGGGTTCAAATAGTCATTCATAGTAATCAAAATGTGCTTCAAAGGACATTACCTTACATCTATAACATCACTTATTGTTTTCCAGAATTGTGCAGATTAAGAACTGATTGCTATTAACATATATCTGAATCTTATAAGTCTTTTATCTTGATGTTTATCTTTCTTTATAATAGAATTAGAGAGAGCAAATCCCTCTTACCAATACAAACTTTTTGTGTTTCCATTTCTGAAAATTAAAAACGCAGATACTAAATGTGGCACTCAAGAAAAATAGATTTAGTTCCGGTGATGATATCTTCATGCTTCTTCAGTAACAAAGAAAAATTTTTGAAGAGTAGTAGAGGAAAAAAAAAAACAACTCACCTCTGCTTCCCCTCTTGTACATGTTTTGTTCTTTTGACTCCCCTATCCAACTGTACTCAGTAGGCATAGAAACGGGCCTTAAATCTCCTGGAAACAATTCAAGATAAACCAATGTAATTTTTGAAGACTAAAAATAGAAGGCTGTAGAGTAAGTAATGCCTATAAACTACAGGCATGGCATGACACAACCCTTCAGAGCAAGCCTTTTTATCAGCAACTATACGTTATTAAAACTGCAGCATTCAGGATCAATTAAACATTATATATGATGGATTCTCCTCTTCACTATACAAATCTGAACGAGAGTACCACTTTGGTGAAATCACTTGCAAATATAAAGCAGATTACTGTTAATTTGAAATGCCTTAGAAAGAAAATATGGAGTGCAGTTTGGTAACAACAACGACGAAGATTTGGGCATTAGGGTTGTAACTAATCTGATTTTACGGCACTATGGCTGTAAGATATCAATGTGCATTAGTCATTCCCTACTATAGTATCAGTAGAACATTGATAGCAGACCATTAAAAAAGGAATACTACAAAATTGACTATTAAGCATTAGCACTTTGGCCTTGTCAGTGTGCATTACTATCACAAAACACCCTTTAGATTATGGGTTATGTTCTGTCTGACCCATAAAGCCAAAGATTCCTTTTTCCATAAACCAGCTGACTAAATTTAGTGTGTTTCTTTAGCACTTGAGCAAATTTTTAAAGTAGTTTGCTACTGTCCTCTTTCTAGGATAAATCCAGAATTTGAATGTGAACAGGAGTTTCTACTTCAATTTCCCCAGGCTGATTACATGAAAAAGTATTTTCTGTGGATTATTTGCATGCTAATATAGTTTTTCATTCACCATTCTCCCAAAATACATCTTTTTAGCTACTAAAATGTTAGGACGATTTAAGAACAAACAGGCATATAAGACAAATATGCTTCTGGATAACACGATTTTCTGAAAATTGAAGGTGTAACATATACATAGAGTACTGAAATTTTCCCATATTATACTTCCATTCATACCATAAAAGTTAGTGTAAAACTAATTGTATGGAAAATATATGTAGTCTCCCTGCTTGCCTAACAGTTGAAACTACCTTTAACTACAAATGTATTATTCAACTCCTAATCTTAAATTTGGCCTTAGAAGAACAATATTACTCAAGAAAAAAAGCCCAATAAATCAAACAAAAGGAAGAATCAGTAACATGGAAAAGAATGGGAAACAAGTAAAGATTATAAATTAAAAAAAAAAGAAAATAACAATGCACATAACAAATGAAGATCAACATAATAAAACTTAGCACTATTTCTATGAAGAGAAGAAAGGCCTGAAGCTCTGAAAAGATTTGTAACACAAATGCCAGATGCCACAGCACAACTGACATAAAACCCAGAAATTTAGGACAGGAAATACACAAGCCAAAACAAATTAATTTTGCAGGCTACTTATTTTACTTCTGAGTTCTTTCCCAAACAAATGTAACCTATAAACTGTTTTAACTTTGCAACTTGGATATTTTTCTGAGGAGTAGAAAATTATTGTGTACAAGTATACCAGTATAAATTGAAAGAAAAAAAAATATGTTTTTGCCTCTTTAACACATAAACAGAAGAGATTTCATATGCATTGGCGCAAGAACTCTAAATAGCATAGCATGTTAGAATTGGACTAATATTAGAGTATAACTCTTGGTAAAAAAAAAATGCACTGCAATGCAATGCACTGCACAGCAATGATAAATACAAGGTTAATATTCACAAATGGTTTGAGAAAATGGACTTATTTGCCTCCTTGGATTTTTCATATATTATTGATACTGAGGGTCTCATCTGCCTGACTATTCTTCCACCTACCAGCTGCAACAGAATCTGATTCCTACTAAACACTTTAATTCTGGTAAGGCAATGGCAGCAATTTCAGAACCATGGTTTGTGTTAGTCCTAGCAATAATGAAAGTGTCTGCTCAACCATGAAAGACTTCAGAAGTTTTATTTTACTTACTTTGCCCATGGCTATCTGGTTCCAACATCAGATACACGTTTATTTGATCTACCATAAATCCTGTCTTTCCACCAAAAGATGTATTGTCACTTTGGTGTTTCAAACGTACATCTTTAAGTCAAAAAGTACAAAGCATTCTACTGCAGGAGAACAAAATTTGGATTTGGAAGTCTGTTAATTGACAGATTAATTTAATCTGTAGTTTAAAAAATTCTGGTTTACCAACTGTTTCTGAAACAAAGTCATATTCCTCAGACTTCAAAATCAAATTCCTTCTAGATTTTCAAAGTTACAGAAAATCAGAACTGTCCATCATAAGCACAAGAAAAATTTTGCCTACTACTGGGATCAGGCACAGAGCCTAACATTTTAAGTCATCATGCAGCATGAATTTATGAAAGCAAGCCAAATACACCCATATGGCTCCAATTTTAATCACAGTTAAGATCTATCTATCATTCTAATTTTATTATAAAATGATGTTACCTATCAGAGAGATAAAGACTGAGTATTACTAGTCTTAAGATGGAATCCTACCCTACAGTGTTACGGCTCTTTCAAGCATCACGTATATCACTGTACAAGTTACTAAAAATATCCTACATATAACAAAGGTCTATTAATATTTCCCTATTCTGAAAAGGTAGTGTATGTATTGTATACATGATCCTGTCCATTTACAATTTATATTTTGCCATTTTTTACCATAAATCCAGCTGTATTTAGCAAAATAGAAAAACAGGACAAAAGTTCTGTTTACTTGATAAACATAAGCTAAGATTTCTTTCAAGCTATTAGAATGACAAAAACAGAACAACACTTGGAAAGGTGGATGTTCTTTGTTGGGAAAGTCTAGCTACAGTCTAGCTACTCTTTAGCTGCAGTGAATTATCACTGACGTAATCTGAAATACCTTGGCAGCTCTCATATTTTCAAACTTGAATTCTACTCTCTCAGCTCTTGAAACAGCAGGTGAAATTACTTACTGTCCCTCATCAGCCAATCTCAGCCAAAAGGTAATGCAGTTGAAACCTTAGCCCAGGTAAGTTATTTAAACTGTGCTATAGATATCTCACATATAATAAGAAAACCTCAGAAAACATTTATTGACAGAAGAAAATGCTTTTGCACCTTGACTATCAAAATCTGTTTTGGCATCTGGGGCTGTCAGTTGCCCTGTCTTCTAACATTTATGGTAGTAAGAACACCTCAGTCTGAGAACAGGGAAGAGAAAGCCGCATCGTCTTTAAGTACTAACAATTGAAAGAAGCATGGGAAACTACATTTAATAACCACCATGGTATCAAATCCTGCACCAGAGAAACCAGTTCTATGGCAGACCAACAAAATCAGTGCCTGGAGTGCTTAAAGTTTTTTCTTTTTTTTCCCCCCAATTGTGTTCCATTTCAGCTGTCATTGGGCCTTCCACTAAAACTGCCTTTGGTATTACCTCCACTGAACTGCAGCATGTTTTTATTACCTGTGTTCGTCACAGACACATTTTTCTTTACTACTTTAAGCTTGTGAGAGGTTTTCCCTTTCCTAGATATCAAAGACCAAAAAATTTAGGAACCTTTTTTAACAAAATGAGAGAAAGGAAAAACCTTCATCTCAGAGTAGGTGAATGAAGTACTGATTGACGGCTTCACACACACACATACGTATAAACATAGAAGCTACCCACAAACAGAATGCTATGATAAGAAGGAGGAGCCATTGCTTTCTCTTTTTTTTTTTTCTAAAGTCTGTAAACTTTAAAAAAATAATTGCCTGTCTTGAAAATAAAATCACTGCAAATATACGGAGAATGCATTACTGTATTTCATTAGCATTCTTCTAAAATTCACCAAACACCAAGCAAATCAGTTTTAAAAGATAAGCAACAAAAATTTTCATCAATTCATTTTCAGCAATACCTTTTACACAGTTACATATACTCATATACACACACATATATGTTTGTGTACCTGTACACCCATATAGATTTACATACATATGAAATTTCTATATAAACCCAGAATTTATTTTTTTTAAAATAGCATCTTATACATTTAAGCAGTCTTCTAAGATTTTGAAATATATTTCTAGTATTAACAATGCATTGCAGGATACTACTGATGTAATTATATCCATTTAATACAGCACTGAATTTGGGAGGGTCTTATACCGTTATAGGTACTTTAATACCACAAGCAAGTCTGTTCAGGCCCTCCATTGAAGTTTAATAGTCCAGAACACTGCGACTAAAACAATCTCCAAAAGCTTGTGAATGAAATTGAGTAAAATCTAGATGCTAGCTATCCAAATAATATGAAGTTAAGCCTACTTCAAAATTTTACATATGCACTGCAGTATAAATAACTTAATCCTGATTCTGAATGTTAGCTTGTAATTATACTAATTATTCCTTCACATAAACCTTTGTCTAGTACTCAGAGCAGCAGGTCATGGTCTAACAAAGAATGACAGATATTTGGGGGTGTTGCAGTGTTAATAGCACATTTATAAACCCAGTCAATTTAGAAATGTTACAGAAATCAAGCCTACCGTGAGTGGGTGTTTTTTCTCTTCTCCGCACTCCTGTAGCTCTGCTTCTCTCATACTCAGAGCCCACAGGGTGGCCTTCACCTTCAATTAAGGTGTAGTATTTCCCACTTTCATGCTCCAGAAAATAGTTTGGAGACTCAGAGCCTTTCATTCCAGGTTTTCCAAATTTGCTGATGTCATCACAAGACATTATTCCAATTTCATCCCTAAAAACAGTAAACCAGAAGTTTATGGAGAAATTTGCCGCTTTCTGATAAAGTGGACAGCTGTCTCTCCCAAACACTATAAATGAAAAGTCCTGTAATTGAAAAGTTCTATGTGTGAACTTTTGTAAAAGTCATTCAATTCAACAAATGTAAATTAATGAAACCATCATTAGGTTCCATTTTAACGGTAAGACAAACATAGTTATTCTGGAGTTTTCTAGTATTTGAAAGGGACCATAAGGAATTGGTGTAACATGAGAAGCCAAAGGTTTCCCTTGCAGAAATGGCTGCTTTAGAGTAAGATACAAGCGGTCACATAAAAGTAAATAAAACTAAATGAATAAAGACTTCTTTAAATGCTTTCTTGCTTTAGGACTAAACCCAGATTTTGCTTAACTGGTATCTAGGTAAGTGAAAGTTAAGTCTCTCAAAATAATGATAAGCTGCACAATGTATTTCTAGCTCTTAATTCTATTAAATATTTAGTTTGATTGTGGGGCTTTTTGTTTGTTTTTATTAATTTAGTGAAATTAAAGTGTAAACTTTTATTTTTCAAAACCTCAAATTCATTAGGACACAAATACCTGGGGCCATAAAGTCCTGACATAGGAGACAGAATGAAAACATCCTGGAGTGCAGAGTTCTCCATTTTTGAGGATATGCCCATTGTACTTGTTGGTGTTGTAGAGCTGCTTGTTGGACTGGTTGGAATTACAGGCTGTGAAAAAAAAAAAAAAAAAAAAGGACGTGAATACATTAATGCTTTCTACACTACAAGTAACAGCAAAGTCAAGACTAGTTATGAAAGAAACTGATAAAAGACCAGTACTGAAAAGTGAAATTAATTTAAAAGCCATCTCATTGAAAAATCTGAGACTCAGAATCAAAATATGATTTTTAACCAATGCAGAAAATCAGTTATATGGGGAGGAAGGTCATACCCTATTCAATGCCATTAATACAAAAATTAATTGCACAACTCTGGTATACTTGCACCGAATGAAAGTGTTCACAACCATAATGTTGGTTTCAATAGAAGATTTATTGTTAACAGGGACAGAATACCTAGATCGTGTAAGAAAACAGAATTCATAGTCATCTATTGTTTCTTATTTTTTTACTGACTCCGTAGCCATGATAATTGTATTACAGTGATACAAATATGGTTTCTATGGTGACTAGCAACGAAATATAAATTAACCTAAGCAATTAATGTAAGTATCATAAATATTAAAAGTATTAATAAAGTGTGTGGATATTTTTGGATTTTTGCTTTTTTAAATGTTTAAATGAAGTTAAACATAATTTTTTAACTCAAATGCCACAGGCAAGCTCAAGTCAATAGCTATAACTACAACCAAATATTCTGTGCAGGATACACAGATATATACACAAAGAATATCTTTCAACCAAGGTACAGTCTGTGTTTATAGTCAAGAAATAAAAATGATTTTATTTAGTATTATTGTTAAGATTACTTATATGAAAAATTCCCATTCAAATATAAAATTAAGCTTAAATAGATAAAATTAGTTTTCTACAGGTGGAAGGAAAACACAGTGACCTAGAAATTGGATGAAAGCTACAAAGACCGATGATAATCTTTTTCTAAATACAATACTTTCTATCTTCTAGAAATAAACACTGAAATTATTTTTATGTTATTCAACAAGTAAAAGCAATCCTGAATACCAAAAAAGGATGTCTTTTTAATGAGAATATCAGTCTGCATAGGGGTCCAAATTATACAACTCTTCTATGCTTATTGTTAAGTTTCTTATACTCTGCTCAAATATTTTCAGTTTTTTTATATTATCAATAAAAATAGATAAGAAGTGACTGCCAAAGACAAGAATCACTCACTACTTACTTTCTCATATCATTGGAAATTAGGGCCTACTGTCTTATACATAGTGTCAACCACTACATTTAGAATACTACCATTAGTTCTGCATTTTTGATGTGGCAGTATTAGTAAGGACTAAATATAAGATATTCTAGTAATCTCCCGACTTACCTTCAGCTGGATACAGTTTCCCACGGGTGAAAACATAAATTATCACCACCACAGAAAGACAAGCAGAAACTTCATTTCACAATCAGAAAAGAAATTACCTATACCAAGTCTCTTGTGAATCATGTCTTTTCAATTGTTTTATATTCAGCAGTTGTCAAGGTTACAGTTTAGTCAATGAAGTTGACAATAGAAAAAAAGGGGTGGGGAGAGATAATTGTTCAATTTGCCCCCAAAGAGGGTGACAGCCATGCTATTCCTGATAGATTTTAAAAAATCTAACCTTATAGCAATGTAATCTTTTTTTGCTTCAATTTAATTCAATTCTTGTCCTACCCATCCCAGAAAACGAGAACTTCCTTTTCATTCTTCTTTAACTTTTCATTTATTTTTACATTCTGAATACAATCTGTTTACCCTCATTTTGGCTAGAAAACAAGAATAGAACTTACTTCTTCCCTTATAGGGCATGTTTTCTAAAACACTAATAAACTGTAGTGTGCTCTGTACTTTCTCCCACTGACTAGACTAGGTTAACCCAGTGTATACCACGTGTACTCAGTACCCAGCTGAGATGGTACCAATACTTAATAAAGCACACTAATTATTTCACTTATCTTGTGTTTCATATTCTCATTTATGTCTCTCAATCAAGTATTTGAGTTCCTTCCAACATGTCGTTCAGCTTTTTGTTTACCGTAATTTCCACATTATTTGAAATTATTGCCATAGGAATCAATTATAAATTCTTTAAAACTTCATTTGATTATTTCAAAGTAGAATACTTTGCATTTGCTCCTCTTTAATTAATTACATTTTAGACCTTTTTTCTAGTTTGCTAAGGTAATTTTTAATTCCATTGTATTTGCAGGCCCTCCTGGTTTAGTACGGTATGTAAATTTAGCAAGCAGATCCTTCAGGTTGTCAGGAAAACATGGAGCAAAAACATATGTATCACTTATCTGTTGAATACTAAATGATAGGTCCTTTGTTTGAGAGTGAACCATTAACAGCTGTTCATTAGGCAAGGTTATCCAGTAATTTTCCACCCATTCAATCTCAGTTTCACCTAGTCCTTAATTCTCTATGCCATACGTCAGAGAATGTAATAAGAAAAGGTATTAATATCAGAGTAAGATATACAGCTTCTCTCCTATCTACCAGGTCAGTTAACTGCTCACGTAAGAGCGTTAAATCTGTTTAATGATTTCTTCATAATAAATTCACGGTTTTTTTACTCATCCGTTACCTTCCAAGTGCTCACAAACTGTTTGTGCAAGTTGACTGTCTTATAATTCCCCAGCTCTTGCATGTCCCCGTTCTGAAGATAAATATTATACTTCCTGTTTTTCTAACCTTATTTTAACTAATCCATCTCTCACAATTTCACAATGAATACGTTTGAAAAATAATGGTCAAAGAGTGATCCACCCCCATCCCCCCCGCCAAATACCAGCTCTTCTTGCCTTTTCAATTGGCATACTGTAATAATACTGTAATAGCTCATCCACCGAGTTTACAGAAATGCATGCTCTTGAAGTTCACTTTCCCTATGTAAGGGTTGTAAGTTTTTATGAAAATACGCTCCTTCATGACTTCTCTCAGATAAGCTGTCTCTTGCTTTCTCCTTCTCAGCTTTACTTATGTTCTCTACCTTCTCTATGAAAAATACTTGTCTTCAGTGCTCTCCAAGAATTTGCCAGACATTATGTCTTTGTTTCTATCCCTTTATCAAGGGATGCACCCAATCCAAATAAACTATATTGGGTGATTCTGCCAGTTGCTCACAAGAAACCTTCTTCACTCATCTGGCCTAGGAGTCTTTAATGAAGAGAAGAGAGCATCTGCTTTCTCTTCCAATATCATCACTCAGATAATTCCAGCAAATAAAATTGTTCTATGATCTGAAGCTCAGAGTGAAGGTAGCAAAGACATACACCTTCACTCTGAGCTCCTGATATGTCTGTGATATCAGACATAGAATTTCAGTGGTTTTAGGTATTGCAAAATAACACAGGGGTCTTTTAATAATGTTAAAACATTAGTTTAATAAGAGTATTTAACATAATATATTAGTACTATGGCAAATCCAAAAAGGTAATTTTAAGAAATAGTAAAATAATCCTAACCAGGTCTATCAATTAAATGGACATAGTCAATTCTTTAAGTCTTATATCTCAATTCCAATAAAATCACGTAAAGGGATTATATTGACTGTCTCTGTGTACAAATGAATGTTTGCTGAAGTGTGTGCAAATACATGCCCAGGTGAAAAAAAATCCCAAATAAACCACATTTTTTTATAGAGGACTTCTGAAAAGTGACGCTTTAGGTATGTGCTCTACGTTATTCAAAGTTTTTTATGAGAATAGCTAATTATCGGTAAGATGATTAAGCAATGCCGAAACACTAGAATAAGAATGAAAGACAAATGGTAAATTCGACACTCATCAGAAATAAACAATTGTTTGCCAAACAAAAATCCAAACTGTTTCAGAAATAAAATACATTGCTGCATTTCTGAGTGTGCTTTGCAAATATTGGGGATAATTAAATACCATATCTATTTGAAAAGTGCTGTTCAAAACAACAAACATATAATTCCAGTGCATCCTGCAAAAAACCAGGAGGACAAGATGCAGGAAGCTGGTAAAGCCCAGTGATACAGCAACAAGAGGCTTGAACATGGATATCCCTTACCTTTTGAGGGGATATGAAGATTAAGGATGGGGTACTGAGTCTCTGCTTCCTCCCCTGAAGGAATAAACTCAATCCCCAGAATTCCCCTGATGGGTGAATTCACTGAAAACACACAGGCGTCACTCTTCTACATGGGTTGCCTGTGGTAAGGGAAAATGGGGCTTTGTAACTGCGTATCACCCTATAAAATCCTACCGTGTGTATTTTTTGTCAGAATAGGTTCATTCATGCCAGTGATATAGATGACTGATTGCTTATTGGACGAGCTGCTATTCAGAAAAATTAAATGTTAAACAATACAAACACTACTCACAATAAGAAACAGAACACTTAATATGGTTGAGTATTTCTCTCATACTGGTGAATTGGTATGGCTGTGCTGCAAAACAGCAGGTATGTCCACAGTGCTTTCAAGCCTGGATTTTTACTTTTTTGAAACTTGAAATATACACCTTTTTTGATGTGTAAATAATAATTTTTGTCCTCAGCGCAAGAGAATACAATGAAATACATATGCATATGACAAAAGTCAATAAAAGTATGAGTGGCAATAAGATGAAAAGGAAATGACTGTTCACCATCTCCTCTGATATAAGACATTTAAGACAACAGACCACAACTTACTTTCTTCTGTGTTTTCTTTGTCTGAGGTGTTACAAGTCTTCCCTTGCCCAAGATATTTCTCACTGAGACAGTAAAGTAAATGGGCAGGACATAATTTCTGAGTTCATCCGAGCAATTCTGTCAGGGTACAGCACCCAAACCATGAACTCTGAACTAACTTGAGTGGTATTTTACTTTTTTTCGCTCTATAAGCATCTGCTCTCATAATGCCATAGAAGTTTTCTTTTGTATGAAGCAACATGTCTCCAAATTCATCTGGTTTTCAAAAATTGAAATGAGCTACTTAGCTGGAATTATTCTGAAGATACTTATAAATTTACAAAGCGTAATATGTATTTTCTAATAGGTAAAAATTATTACAAAATTGTCACTGCTGACACTACTCCACTTCACTACTCATATCACCGAAATTCTATATCTCAAGCTAAATAATAAAAAGTTTTATGTTCTGGATCAAGTAGTTGTAACAAGAAGGATTATTCCACTTAGAAAATTTCTCAAAATAAAAAGAAGAAAAATATAATAAATGTTGTATTTTATTTGAAAGCAGCTGCCAGTGTGCTCACTTTTATAAAAAACAGAGCACTATATGCCATTGCAGATGAATGAACCATTTTATATTGAGTGGGACGATAATCACAGAGTTTAAAAATGAAAATAGTCTTCTAATATCATATAATGCCAACTAGAGACAAAATGGTATGACTGACATGTTGTCTCACAAAATAACTGTAGCATAGAACTTTGGCATACGTTAACATTCTACTTTTGTTAATTAAGCATCAAGGGAAACTCTATACAGCAAAGGAATACTACGACGAGACCAAGAAATAAATTTTATAAGGATTCACAGCTTCTGTATCAAAAATCATTCATAAATTAACTATGTGGCAAAATTTTAAACATAATCATTTTGGAAAAAAACATTACGAACACCTATAAGTGCCTTAAGCAATAATAGAAAACATGACAAATTTTAAAATAAAAATTAGTGCTGTGCACCAACCTGAGTTAAAAAAAATATATACATATTTCTGGCCTCTGAATTTCAAATTCTTAAATCTTAATTCCTTTGTTCCTTCCTCAATTTTTTACTGCTTTTGTTTTGTCTTTTTTTTTTTTTTAACAACACTAAGTCAGGATTGAAGAATTTTGAAAGTCTGTTAATAGCCTCTGATAATTTCTGTTCTGCGAGATCCAATTTAATCCATTAGTGGTATAAAACTCCACAAAAACAAATAAACAAAACCAGAAGCCTTCCTACCAATTCAACAAATTAAATGGATCTAGAGAGTCTAAAAAATGCCAAAGTCAAACAAAGGTGAGGATATTGTGCAGCCAAGAACAGGAAGATGGAAGTGAGATCACTTCTTTCCAGCAGCATCAAGCTGTTATGTCAGCTGCCCAGGAAACACAAGCTTTAGTATCATCTTGAAATTTAATCATGCTCATGCCAAGTCATTAATGACAATAATAAATAATACTAGATCCAGGTGAGAACCGTAGGAAACAGGCAAACCCAAAACCTGCATCCTGAAACGTATCCAGGTCCTAATACTTGAGCTTGCCTCTGTGGCACGAAGACTAAAGAAGACTTAAAGATGCTAAGGAAGAGCTAAAGTTGATTTTCAACATCTTATTTCAAAACCTACTGTTAAGAAATAACACTGGCAATGCTCTTTTTATTTTCTGAAGAGATTTATATTTTTATTTAAATCCCTCACCGCACTATTCTATGATCTAGAAGAAACATATACTAGTAAGGATATACTTAAAGCACCTTTGATCCTCAGGGCCTCTTGTGTCTTCAGGAGAGGGTACATCTCAGAAATAGAAACCTAGTGCACTTTCACTTATCTGGCTACCATAACAAAGGATGGCAAGTTTTGTGGAAAACACCATGACATATATACAAAACATATCACTTTCACAGTGAGAAAACTTCCAGAACTAGTGCTCCTTGTGAACGATGATTCTTTAATGTCCTAAAATAAAGACAGGATCTCTAAAGATGACCTGTTGCAAATGCCATTTCCATTTTGCTGCCCCTGGAAGCTTCATATGAAGTTTTCAAGTAGATACATAATCATCTTGCCAGAGTGAAGAATGTTATACCTATGCCTTTATGACAGAAAAATCTAAAGAACTCTGAATCTCCTCTGGGTGTCACAATGCCCCTTTCCTCTCCCCCAGAGGTCATTGCAGAGAAAGGAAAGGTGGCACTAAACCCAAGTGTCAGCGCTTCCGATCTTCGAGGATTGCACAAACTCCTTAAGTGAAGAAGCTGTGTAGGATTTAGGCACTTTGAGGAATGAAAGATTCAGGAAGTGCCACACAGGAAGGGAATTTGCCTGGACAGGCTTGAAGGGTTTGCTTTGTTTTGTTAATTTAAAAATTATTCAGAAACACTTTCACGTATCGTGTGATCCAAACAAAACACTTCCACATTATTAAAAGTGCATAAACTTATAACAGAACATTACATAGTATTAAAGATAAACATGAATAGCTACTAACTTAATCAAAACCCATTCCTTTCATAATCACATTTTGAGTTCAGCCTTTCGACTGTGAGTCAGTTTCAACTACATATGTTGATGCTGTAGGAAGAACCAGCTGTGATGTTCACAATTGATTTTTTTCATATCAACAGGTTTTCAAGGAAATGTCAGAGACATTCTTTCAACAGAAAACGTCAGAGGGTCCTATTAACATTGCTACCAAAACCTCAAATTTGATAAGATGTGGAAAAGCAGCAGACTTTTCCTGAAATCAAATGGTCTGACACACTTGATTCCGAACAAGTGGTTTTGACAGTCGGTGAGATAATGGCAACAGGTAGGCAACGTTGCCTTTGCAAAGAAAGCTACTGAACCTTAGGCTGCCTTGATCTGCAGTAATACTATCCATAAATGTTCTTTCCCTCTACAAATTCTCGTGGCTCCCAACTTCCCAAAAGAAAGGAGGAAAACAATTTTATCGACACATACAGTATTACCACACAAACTTATCTCAGCACACTATTTCAAAGGAATTTGGGACTTTTTAGAGGCTCCTGTTGCTTTCACTGGAAGGAAAAATTCTAGTGTTTTCTCTTGAATAAAGGATTTACCAAGACACCAGCGTTGCAACAGCCTTCTTACCTGAAGTGCAAGAGGTTTCCACCTCACATTCTTCAGAAGGGCAGGAGCAGAAACCAGGGTATTCTGAGGACGTTTTTTCAAGGTTAAAATCACTCCATTTGGGTCTTCCCGCAATGCATTTACTAGGTTCTTTAACTGCCAGCCAACCTAAGGAAAAATTCCATAATTGAATTTTGAAAGCTTTCCCTTTAACTTTAAATGTGAAGGAAGTCTTCTATTAACTGAAAAGGTCTATTACAGCCTACTCTTTGCCAACATAAGCAGTTTTTATAAACTGCGTCTGATTACTTCTGTTGGACTGAAATGATGCTGCTGAAGCTGGATTATTTTTTTTTAGCTATGTTTCTCAGCAAAATAAGGCATAAGCGAACACTGTCTCCCTTTTAATAATTTGTGAGATCACTGTACATTTTGAATAAAATGATAAGAACTAGAAGTCATGAAATAATTTCAGTCTGAATCCTTAGTTCACTGCTGAGGAAGAAGACAAACTATGCTATAGCAACACATGAAACATGTATGTAAGAGTTTCAAGATCCTAACTGAAGATAAATGATCATTTATTTGATTTATCTATACAGCCCCTGGGTAGAGCTGAATAATTCAAGTTACTATAAATTGTAAACACAACCATAAAAAAAGAACATTATGAGTACTGAAATGATTATATATGTGCCACTCACAAAAAGCTACTTGGAGACATTTCTTAATCTTCTTGATTATTTAAATATGAATTTACCATGAACCATTTATACATGAAAACAGAAAATGTATTTTTATGGGATTTTTTTTAAAAATGAATGTTTACACTATCCTATTATCCTGAATGGTCGAAGAGGTTTTGAAACTGAATAATAATATAAATCACAGTATATAAAGACGTTTATGATAAAAGTAGTTTCTTACACATTTATGTGCTGCTGAATTTCTATCCATATTTCCACAGGCACACAAGAAAAAAACAAAACAAAACAAAACAAAACAAAAGGGTATCAAAACAGTCAGATATGTAAATTCAGAACTGAAAGTGAAATTCATAAAAAATCATATTTTTCTAAACCATTCTTTCTTCCAAGTTATACCACTGAAATCAGTGGAATTCTACCAGTTTGCGTAACAGAATAAATATGGCTCCATTCAGCATTCTTTTTGCCCTTCCTGTATGCAACTGATGTATTAGCTTGTTCGCTATGAATAAAAGAAGAAATTCCTACCACTTAACACTTCACAGTGAATTATCATTAAAGTTGGTTTGCCCTATTTCCTGAGTAACCTCAAACTAGGACACACTATTATTGAAGAAGTTTCTTTAATATTACAGTCTCAAAAATGTATCCTATTTAATACCCAAATTAGTACCGATAGACAGAAATACATTGCAATGCTTGCAGGGTTTGCTAAAAGCTCGTATTTTTTGTCAATATACTTGTGACCTGATCTAGATAACTAGACTTAACGCCACAAATTTTGCAACTTGTCTGTCTTCCACTGGTGTCAGAACAGCAGTACGACTAAATTGGACTTTTAGTTAATGTCCTGGTTTGAGGTAAAACAGTACCAGTTTTCTTTTCCATAATTTTACTTTTCACTTAAGCCTCTTCTAACTCACTGTCTGAAATTAACAGCCCAAACCATGACAGTTCCTCGCACCTAGCCTTAGCCCTGGGTCCCAAGTGCTAAACTATTGCCTCCATTTACTCTCATCTTGTTATTTTCAGGAAGTGTACCGAGGATCTTGCTGCAGTAACTCAAATTACAAGAACAAGCCTACCTAGAAAGGAATTACTGGAGGGAGTAACCACTTGCAAGTCACAATTAGGTTACTGGTTCACATTCAGCTCTGGGAAACAGCAAGGCATGCACAAGTACTTATAGTGAGGACTTCGGGAGGATTTTCCTAGCCTTCCTTATTTGCACCTTCTCCTGTTCACACATGATTTCTAGATTTCCCACTCAACAAGAGTGAATAGGTGCAGGATAGAATCTCCACTTACCCTTTTAAATATCACATCCTTTTTAAAACATTACTTATGCAAGGTTTTAATTTGAACCCTGATGGTTACTATCTATCCACAGTTCTGCTAAACAACGCAGTATGGATCCAATCCTGCACAGAATATTTTTTAAAAAGTCAATTTCTTTCACAGAAAAGCTGAGCACCCAGAATCTCTGAAAATGCCTGTATTAAACTCTTCCCTCCATTTTCTATTCCAAACATGGCAGGTTTTTACAGTAGCAATAAAGAACCATCGTGAAGACTTGTCTTAAGTGTTATAACCACCACAAGTCTTAAGCCCTAGTGTCAAGCTGAACAGGAATTAGAATGCTGTGGTCGTACAGCAGTTCTCCAGACACAACCTTACTAAGGCCAAATTGCAGCAGCCTTAAAGTGAACATTTAAGAATTAAAAGCTTAAGGAATACAAGAGCAGTAACTGAACAAGTACATGCAAGCATTAAGTGCCGTTGTATTTGCTATGCTTTTTCACCCATCAGAGTTCACTACAACACTTTAATCACCATTGCTCTTCTGACCAACCTGTGCATTCCCACTGCTATGAAGAAACGAGGGGAAAAAAATAAAAAATAAAAAATAAAATGATTCAGGCATTCAGAATCAGAGCAGTCTACATATATCCCCATATTATATCAGGTATAGTTTATAATTACTTCCTCTTAGAGGAAGATAGCATCTGATTACACATGAAGATGGAGGCAAAATAAAAAAGACAACCTTGAAGAGATTTCAATTAAAAACCTCTTATGAGGGCTGAAGAGAAAATGAGATATAAACTGTAAGGTTCTAGCCTGTCTCCATAGTGGGCCGAAGCCAGGATTCCAAGGGTGAAGAATGGGCATGGAAAGAACTGCAATATGTGTCATAATTCTAAAAAGGATTTTAATAGCTTTTTAAAGTTCTATTGAAAGACTTTCTGAAAATGCACTGGCCATAGGAAACCAGAAAATGGTAGTAATGATAAACAAGCCACAGCCAAACAAATGCAAATATGTTAACTTGCATTCCAAATGAACTCTTTTAGTTCGTGCTTTGTTTATAAAATGACAGAGGCTATATTTTTTAACACAGTTATAAAATTAAAAATGAACTATTTTTGATTTTTATGGATTGATGTAATTTTCAGAACACTGAAATCTTTAGAGTTCCATGATCTCCTTTTAGAAAAGAATGATAAATAATTAAGTTAATAATAAATTACTCCAATGAGACCCTTAATGACAAAACCATTAAATACCAAGATCTAATAGAGAACAGTCTGCAGTCATTACTACTAGGCTATGATAAAATGGTCTTAGGAATTTGGACATGTTATTATAAATTGTATTACTAAAAATATCTTTGCAAAAATAGAAGTCATTACAGTGGATTAAAAATTTTAGTTGAAAACCAGTCCTTGAGACAGATTTTGACATTTATTCTTAAAGAATCAGACTTTAACAGCAATGACTAGCTTCCAGCTATGGTAAGACATATTCAGCAAAACGGTATTTTGCTCCTTTAAGATTTTTAGCACATACATTCAGTTAATCAGATTCTACAATATGGGTTAAGATATTTCACTCAGTAATGAAAGTAAACATTAAAATTAGACTGATGAAGAGAAAAAAGGAATAACGTGATACTTTTTTATTTTCCTGAATAAATTAAATTGGCGCAATTCGGATACCCATTACATTCAAATCAACAAATTCAGAAGGACATTATTATGTCATCTTTGCACAGCATAGCAGAACTCTAGTCATGGTGCACAGTTCTCTGCGAAACATATTTGCGTACTGAAATACGGTGCACTATTTTTTATCTCTTTATAAGCCGGTCCTACAAAACCTAGAATGTGGAAAGCCACATGTCTTACTTCATAAGTCAAAGGAAAAACGAAACACAGTCAGATGTCAGCAATGAGAATTGCTACTGCAGTGATAAGCAGAGTTTTAAAAAGATTAGAATCACAGAAACTTTGATACTTAGTGGCTCAAAATTATTGACTTCTTAATTTTAGCCCCCCCAAAAGAGGGTTTTTAAATTTAGATGTTAAATATGGAAGAAACCTAGAAGAATGCAAAACAACTAACTGAAAATGGTAAAAGGCAGGCAGAAGTTTAAGATTTTGGTGATTTACACTTAGGATAGCTCTAATTAATAATTTTTATTGGTTTATACATCCTCAGTGTTGAAAGAAGGGCTCCAGGGGGGAAAAAAATTGTATACTACCGCCTATGTTAAAGGATTTGTTAGTTTTCTCATAGAAAGTACAAGCCAGATAATTAGTGGAAACTGCAAAATATAGTATCTTTAAAAATAATTGCTCCAAAAATATTAATCCCTATGATACTAAATTTCTTTACCCTAAAAGTATAATGATTTAAATATCCACAATACCATAGTAATTTTGTATACCTAAACCTGATAATTTTGTAGCTGGGACTGCATAACTAATATGTTTAGAAAAAACATAACTCACTTTCATGAACCCACTGTAAACTAGTTTGTTTTCTAGTTCTTCAATATCTTCTTTAGAGTATCTCTGTATTGACTTTGTTCCTTCTCATTTAGAACATCTAGATTTTTATGAATGGGATTTGGAATGAATACTACCAGCAATAGGGTTTTCGGCATTTTTATAAATCCAAACTCTGTTCATGCTGGAAAACCACCTTTTCTCCTTCTTAAAAATAAAGGCTACCTAGCCAATGATGACTCACTGATAATCTGTATGAAAAAAAACCCTAACACAAAGAATTCTTAGGGTTAGAGAAACAAACAAACGAAAAGACTGAAGAAAACACAAATTGGTGTATTTGTGGATGACTGCACAGGTACTAAGAGCACGATATATTTGTCTGTTAAAAGGAACTGAAAAAACCAGCTAGACTGCTGAACATGATGCTGCTTATCAAAGGATTCCAGTAGTCAAAAACACCACAACAGTTATTCCCCTCCATACCAATTTCTTCAAAACATGTATACATACTTGCTATGGTACAAAGTTAGATGACACAGCTCAGTGGAACTAGCAGTGCATAGTGGATAGAACACCCATATTCTTTTCTCTGCTTTTCCTGAAAATTCTGGGGCTAAAGCAGAAGAGTGGTTCCTCGGTTCCTTTACTGCCTTATCAAACCCTAAAT